TCCGAGGACCTATGACTCAACCTAATACATCGGCTGGTTACGGCAATTCATTGTACAAACCACATGCGTATTCAAAGCGACATCACGGATGAAGTTCCTAACGAAAGTTAAATGCGGGGCGCATCTCATGATGAGATTCATCAAAGACAAAATATTTTAGTTTCCCGAAATTATATGTTTGAAAGTTGAGGGAAGGAAGTTTATAAAGTTTATAAAACTCAAGTTTATGAAACAAATCAATAGAAATAATAGAAACTAGGCAAGTCATATGCAAAATTTCAAATGATCAGAGTAAAAATGGTATGGCAGCTATGAATTGCTCGGAGAACCAGTCCACTTTTTTCGTAAGGGAAAGTAAAAACAAACAAATTGGAAAAAAACTAACTGAAAAAAGTGAAGAAAATCATAAGAAGAAAATAATAAATTTCAAAACGAATGGAATAAAATGCTGTAGCTGATCCCAAATCCATTAAATGTGCATTTCACTTATGTAACAGATAAACATTGCGAAAGTAGATCATCCAAACAAAAGGAAAACAAAAGTAGCAAACAGGTTTAGTGCGAACCAAAAAAATCAAAGCCATAGAGAGACCTACCTCAACGTTTCTGTTTTTAGGGATTATCTCAACACCGTCTTTATACCAAGTGAACTCGGGAGCAGGTTGCCCACTGGAATGACATTCAAGACAGAGGGTCTGTTTCTTGGCTATGACGATATCGTGCAAAGCTTTGATTACAACAGGCGGAGTGTTGGCTGAACGTTAAACCCTTTATGAAACTGCCGTGAAAAGCGGGTTTTCACCAACTCACCTGTAATTCTGATCGGTTTGGTTTGCTCTGAGAACGTTCCAACGCCAAACTCATTCCGAATTGCAACTTTGAACACATAATCGACATCTTCTCTCAAGCCAGAGATTCGACAGAAATTGACGTCGCAGTTTACCTGGAAGCCAAAATTAAGCGGTTTGTGATTAGTTCCTTCCTAGAAAAGGTATCCAAGGACGTCGCACATTCTAGGCTCCACCTAGAAGGTTTCACTGCCAAACGTGTGGGGCACTCCCCATTGCCTCTCATTTCCCAAATATTGAAGGGCAATGGAGTTGTGCCAAGTATGTAAGCATGGTCCCAAGATTGGACTTTGGATCTATACAACCGCCCAAGCACAATCAAATCTCCCACCCTTACAGGACATGTGAAGTGCAGGAGTCTCATCTCCTGCACTTCACAGAGAGTTCACACTTCTCAGAGAGTCTAAAGACGTAAATGTTATATATATATATATATATATATATATATATATATATATATATATATATA